GAGTAAGGCTTTGACTGTAACCCTAAATTTTAATTTCATATATCCTTACTTTAAAAAAAAAGTCAGTCTTAAGAACCCTCCTTTGAAGAATTACAGCCTAATTATGCAAATACAAATGACTTTTGTTTACATATATCTGATCTTGAAAACGCAAATACAAATGACTTTTGTTTACATATATCGGATCTTGAAAAGGGTTTTTACAGACTTGAAAATATTTTATAAACATGTAATTGAAATCAATAGTTCACAAAAATGTTAAGACATGGATATTCTCAAATAATTGTATTATTCAATTTTAGATGAATGATTATTTTGCGAAATACACAGAACTTTTTGAACTTTGCAATAATACAGCAAATAATTATTGAAAGTTTTTAAAACAACTATGCCACCAAATAGTAACGTGGTAAAATGCTTGACTTTACTCAAATAAAGTTTACATAGTATTAACTTCAGAAGAGCATATTTATATATTTCAAAATCAATCTTTTGGCCTCTGATTGACTACAAAATACAGCATGAGACACAGAAGAAAAACAAAGCAAACCTTTAATTTCCAAAATCTGAACATCAGCTAGTTCATTTTCCTAAGTTAACAAAATATTTGAAAAATAGAAACTGTATTCAAAATAAACAGTTCCATTATACGATCAAGGCATACATCTGTAACTTGTTAAAAAAAAATGTAAAAAAAAATTTTTTTACATTTATATAAATACACATTAGCTGTTTCTCAGGTATAACAGAGTGAAATGGCAAATGTTTTGCCCAAACTACTTCATGCTAATACCGAATTCCTATCATTTTAGAGGCGGGTGGGCATTTACCCAAAGTAGAACCAAAGAAAACCAAGGAAGTTATCCAAGGTTTCAAATTTCTTTCCAGTATTGGCTTCCTGTTTTTCACTTGAAGGAATGACAAAAGAAACACTCGGTTTTTTTTAGCAAAGCCAGATTACTGTTTTATGTTTTTTTTAAAACTATAAACTTTACTATTTTATAACGCTAGAAAAGTAAAATAATATGATCCAGTACTTAAGATAGGTAACATTAACATACAAATGCTGTCCGGATTATCAACCACTCAAAGTCAAAGTTCAACATTTCAGAGTACCAAATGCTAATACTATGCTCAGAATTTTAACAAGACTCAGAAATTTAACAAGAATTTTAGAAGACTACAATGCAAGGGGAAAATAGCATCATTTTGCACCAGCATTTAGAAATTTTGTATATAAAGTATACTAGATGAAATTACAAATAATGGCTTTATTTACTATTTTGGTATTCTGTATCAATCATCTTTACTAAACACCTATGGCTTTGTATGCACACTAAATGCTATATACTTCCAGATCTCAATGACATTCATCATTGACATTGCATAAACAGTTCCACCTTTGAACTATTTTAAAAGTTTTGGTAATAAATGATTATCCTTAAAAAGTAGCATCTTAAAGTTACTATACCAAATCTGTCATCATGCAGTGTTATAATGGCTCTTCTCTCTGTACTCCCAAATAATACAAAGCATATAACTATTGCTCAATCTGTAGACAACAATCTCAATACTTTCTTCTAACATGCATACACACCCCCTCACAACCTCAACACCCCTCCACACATACCCCTTAGGTAAACTAATTTTTCTAAGTAAAGGAAGCTTGGAGAGCTCTTTTTTCCTGTTATTATCCCATATTTAAAAGTTTTTTTCTTGCTCTAAGGCATTCTACTACTGAATTACGTGGCTTTAATTACAAAGGCTGAACAATTTCTGTAGGCAACTTAAATGATGAGTCTTCCTGTTGCCTTCTTTTGTATATCCTTGAATTAGGGATAAAGGCCATCAGAGACACACAGGGATAAACGAATAAAATTAAAGAAGGAAATCACCACTTAAAAAGAAGATGAAACAGACTTGTCTCTATTAATACCACTTAGAATGAAAAGAACTAGAAACAAGAATTGAAAAGAACATTAACAATGCATCAAAAATTCAGTCAGAGAGTGGGCCGGCCCGGTGGAGCACTGCTATAGTGCGCCGCTTGGGAAGCGCGGTGGCGCTCCTG